TAGTTTATTTTAAGGTGTACGTAATTAACATAGGGGATAAGATACAAAAAAGGCGGACATAGCCTCTTAAAACAAAGACTGTGGCACCTAGCTACTATAGACTTACACGCAGAACATAAACTTATTTCTTGGGCTTTAACCCCTCGAGCGTCCTTATGAGCACCCGGTGGATCATAAGAAAAAATGCTCCAAATGTCACGTGTGCACCCGTTGGATCATAAGGAACGCGGACGTTCGACGGGTTAACAGAGACGGACCTCTGAGTGTGTTTCGGCATTTAGGTTACGTTAGCCACTTAGGAAATGTCGACCTCACGTTCGCTTAAAAAATTGACGTGTAAAAGTGCTGCCTTATAGCCTATTTGCAGAAATAAATTCACTTGTATCATTTGTTTTACGTTGATACGAAGGACATCTGTCATTTTCTTAAGTTCTTAAGTCTTGGTTTCTATACACAGGTACACATAAAAACACCACTGACATTTTGGTGCTTCATTCATTTCTACGTGATAATAATATCGCGCACCAAGTACGTTGAATAAAAGGCGGGCTTTTATTTAAGGTTATATACCGAAAGGTTAAATACATGTTTGTGTGAATGTGACCTTTAAGTTATTAAATATATCTCTACTAAAAGCACTAAATCAATTGACCAGATCTAATAAGAATATCCAATAGAAGCGTGGGAGAGCCATGCTTCGGCATGAATGGGCTGGCTCGACCGGAGCGGTACCACGGCCGAGCAGAAAACCGACGTGAAACAACGCTTGCGTTGTGTATCGCTGTGTGAGTGAGGTTACCGAAGGCCCAATTTCCCCCACTCCCCTGTCTCCCCTATCCCCGAATCCCCCACAATCCTCAAATTCCCGATTCCCAAAAAGCCGGCAACGCACTTGTAACGCCTCTGGTGTTTCAGGTGTTCATGGGCGGCGCCGATTGCTTACCATCAGGTGATCCATCGGGTCGTTTACCGGCTTATAGCATAAAAAAATCTGGTTATAAGATGCCAAAAATAGTTCTTTATTTATTTGTAGTACACGTGTAATACCTCTTATAAATAAATAATACCACTATATACTAATATGTAACTAAACTTCAAAGATGACTGCTGAATTTTTCCTTATTGTACCTAATATTTATTATTTTCCCGAAATAATTCTTCCACGTGCAACGAAGTTGTTACATAAAAATTTTAGTAAAAGTATATTTTACTTAATAATCAATTGGCTGCACGATTCTCGAAGTGGCTGGGCAACTGACTAGTATACAATGCATTTACCGTAGTGTCGATTCCTCGGTCGGTCGGTAAGTCGGAACAATTCACTTTATTCAGATTGTACTCACTACGCATCTATATATATAAAAATCAATGCCACTTTTCGTTGTAATTCCATAACTCAAGAACGGGCTCACCTATCCAAACCAAATGCTTAGGATTTGGTCGGCATATTTAGTAGATGGTTTATGTGAAGTTTGCACAAAATCGGTCGAGCGGTTCCTCATTTGTCACATTTTTTGTAATAAATGAATTCAATAGAAACTTTTTTCACAGAAACTTTTTTGAAGTTTTGTTGACAGGACAAGCACGTTGTTATGTCATTCATGCCGTCAGTTCATTTTGGACGTGGTTTGATTAAAGCATATTATCAGCGATAAATTTCTTTTCACATAATTGCATTTGCAGTGCATTCATACAAACGGTGAGTCCTGAATTTATGTGTACTTTTCTAAGTTGCCGTATATGATTTCACATAGCATCATATGCGACAGCTTCTTGGGAATTTGTTTTTTTTTTTTGTTCTAATTTTTTTTTTCGATTTTTAAGCGAAAACATATGTGCATACGGGAAAAATGCCACCAGCCAGACGAGCAAATATAGGTCGGCGAACGCGTAATGCAAATGATGTGGCATTACTAAGACGATCACAGACTGCAGATGAACGCGCACAAGCTAATGCAACGAAGCTTTGATAATAATTGAAGATATATGTCTAACGATTGCAAATAAAGCATTAGTACAATTGGGTATGACCGCACCAAATCGTCCCATGCATGATTTGTTTGATCGTGAATTGCAACGTGAGCAGGAATTCAACTGTAATGATTTGCGTTTATTTGTACAATCGAATATAACCAAATTAAATATTCAGCAAAAACATGTATATGATACAATCATGCAAGCCGTTTCCAATAATGCAGGTGGATTATATTTTTTGGATGCACCTGGTGGCACAGGTAAAACGTTCGTTATATCATTGATTTTAGCGACTATTCGATCAGATCAGAAAATTGCACTAGCACTTGCATCTTCGGGAATTGCTGCTACATTATTAGAAGGTGGTCGGACCGCACACTCTGCATTAAAATTGCCATTGAATGTACAGGTGATTGAAACTCCAACTTGCAATATATCGAGAAATTCTGCTATGGCAAAAGTTCTGCGATTAACGTCAATTATTTTATGGGATGAGTGTACAATGGCGAATAAAAAATCACTAGAAGCATTCAATCGAACAATGCAAGATTTACGTGGTAATCAACAGCTTTTTGGTGGTGCTTTGATATTACTTTCAGGGGATTTTCGTCAAACATTGCCTGTCATTCCTCGATCAACTCCTGCTGATGAAATAAATGCCTGCTTGAAGTCATCAGTTCTTTGGAGATATCTACAAAAATTGACACTAAACATTAATATGCGTGTTCACCTACAAAATGATCCAGCTGCCCATGAGTTCTCAAAACAATTGTTAGAAATTGGTGACGGCAAAATACAAATCGACAGAACCAACGGATTGATCGCTGTACCGAACAATTTTTGTACAATTGCGCAATCGATAGATGAATTGATTGAATGTGTTTTTCCGAATATTGTTCAGAATTACAGAAATCATGATTGGTTGACAGAACGCGCCATTTTAGCACCGAAAAACATTCATGTCAATGCAATTAGTTTTCAAATTCAAGCGAAACTGCCAGGCGTAGTCACGAAATATAAATCAATTGACAGTGTTATGAATCAAGATGAGGCAATGAATTATCCAATTGAATTTTTAAATTCATTGGAGCCGGCTGGTATGCCACCGCATTGCTTGAATCTGAAAGTTGGTTCTTCGATTATATTATTGCGAAATATTAATCCACCAAAACTGTGTAACGGAACCAGATTGGCAGTGAAAAAGTTATTGCCAAATTTGATTGAAGCTACGATCTTAACTGGTAAATCAAAAGGAGAAGTTGTTTTGATACCGCGTATACCTATGATTCCAACTGATATGCCTTTTGAGTTCAAACGTTTACAATATCCTGTGCGTTTATCATTTGCGATGTCCATCAACAAGGCCCAAGGTCAAACACTTCACGTTTGTGGTGTGAATTTGGAGGAACATTGTTTTTCACATGGCCAGTTATATGTTGCCTGTTCCAGAGTCGGTACCCCCAGCCGTTTGTTTATTTATGCTCAAAATGGAAAAACAAAAAATATTGTTTATCCAAATGTTTTGGATTAAGTGTGTTGTATATAATAGCTAGCAATTGATTTCGATTTTAAATAAAATATTTTTTTGATTAAATAAATGAATTTGATGTTCCGATTTGTTTATTTTATTTCACTTTATACGTAGCGAAGCACGTACCGGGCCGCTAGTAGTTCTATAAAAAAAAATACATTGTATCAGTTGTAACTTTAAAACAAATATTTTTTGTGGACCAGTGTTATTGAAGTCTTTTTTTAAAGGGGGGTAAATCATCGAATGACTGCTCCCGCCTGGGTGAGGCGGGACGGAGTGTCAGACTCTTACTGACTAAAAAACCACCCCGTTCCTTCTCCTGCACGTCGAGCCGGAGCCCCGGTAACCAGTTAGGTTCTCCGCGACATACAAGCAGGGTATGGGCTGACTTAGGTGATAGATACTTTTTACCTCGATTAAATGCTTTCATGGGATAAAACAGGAATCATATTCCACGCGGATGAAGTCGCGGGCAACAGATAGTGATCAATATTACCTTTCCTAGTTCACAAATATGAAATTATTATATATATAATACAATTTACTGTTTATATAAGAAAAGACTGCCTCGTTGGCCGAGTGGTCGCAAGTGCGACTGCCGGGCAAGGGGTCTCAGGTATGATTCCCGGGTCGGGCAAAGTTCTACTGGGTTTTCAAAAAAAATCTCAGTGGACGCACGGAAGTCTGGAATTGTGCCCGGTATATGGCAATAAGCTCACCCCCTTTTACATGGGACTCATAACATAAATAGTTAAAAGTGGGTGTTACATTGTACAGTGGCATTAAGTGCCATAATGTGCACCTCTGCCTACCCCTTCGGGGATAAAAGGCGTGATGTTATGTTATGTTACAAATATGAAATAACGCTTTCTGATAGCATACTCATGCATACCAAGGTATGATGCATCAGTCATCATCATTTAATTTATTATTCTTCACACAGTCTGGTCCACAACAATCTCGTATGTCATTTCTATAATTGTACCGATTTCTTATTTGCATATTAATCTACTTTATCTTGCGTTGTTCTGAATACTTAGCTAGCGGGAGAATGGTAAATACTTGAATGCCAGGCAAGAAGTCTCGGGTTCGATTCCCAGGTCTGGCAAAATAGTACTAAGCCATTTATCCCCGAAGGGGTAGGCAGAGGTGCACATTATGCGACTGTAGAATGTAACACTCACTTTTCACAATTTATGTTATGAGTCCCATGTAGGGGGTGAGCCTATTGCCGTATACCGGGCATAATTCCATACTCCGTGCTACTACTGAGAATTAAAAAAAAAACCCAGCCATGCGTTGCTTGACCAGGGAATCGAACCTGAGACCCCTTGCCTAGCAGTCCTATCACATACTAGAGTAAAACTCAAATTCTACCTTCTACATAATATATTATACATACATACATAATTTGTACTATACTACATGTACATATATGTGTACTATATAAAAATACTACTCACAACACCACAAAATACATAAAAATCCAACTCACCAACATCTGCATTTTCCAAGGTTTCCTAGTCACCAATTCAACGTCATCTGAACTCCTTGTACTAAGGTTACTCACATCGACCGAATCCTTCATCAGTTGTGAATCATCTTCATCATCAAGTAATTCGTTTTCGTTTGATTTCGTAGTTATAACTATTGGTTCTTCTGTTACTTCTTCATCTCTCTCATTGTCCCCAACCAAATACCCTTCTATAGTGGTAGTGTGTTCTAGTTCGTTATTGGATATCTCTGTTGTGTATAATCCTTCGTCAATTGATCGTCTTGATTCTTTAGTTTTTTCTGGTTGTACTGTGTAATACTTCTTTCTAACTGCTGGCTCTTCACTAACTGTAGTTTTTGGTTGTTCATCTTCTATCACAATTCCTGTTACTGATGTTTTGAGTATATTTTTGTCTGTTTCTTCTGGTATATTATCGTCATCTGCTGCTTTCTTTGAAGCATCTGTTTCTTGTCTCATCGGTTCTTCGATAAATATATAATCAACGAATATAGGTCTCGGTGGTAGTTCGATATAATCTTTTAACTGTTCGACTTCAATGTGTCGTTTCACTTTTTTTGTAAATTCAATTTCGTCTTTCATAAATTCGTCGATATCAAAATCGTCTACAGTTGAAACTTCAATGTAATCGCCATCAGTGGACGTGTATGGTTGTTCTGTTGTATAATCCACTTCGATTACAGTCAGTTCTAACTCTGATATAGTTGGAATCCTTTTGATCGTTATATTTGCGTTTATATAATTGTATACATCAGGCCAATATTTGGCGCTATACAGGAACGTTGATATCATGAACATTATTACGAATAACATCATTAATATTAGTATTTTTATTATCATTTTTAACATTGGTTGTGATAACTTCATCATTGGATACCAGAGTCTTACTTTTTTCACAGATCACTATAACCACGTCAAACTATGTTATCACTCATAGAAACCGCACTGTTTTTATATATAACTTTAAAACCACGTATATCTTAGTACCTAAGGACCAAGTCACAAGGACCACACGTGTGATTAAGAAGCAAGTCTCGGATGTACTAGAATTAATATAACAATGTATTATATAAAGAGTCTGGGATTTGTATAGGATCATTATGGAAGCTATATACGGCGTGTGATGCGCAGAATAAAACAATAGATAATATAGTTTGCCTTCTAAGTCTGGAAAATGCTGATGATGTTATCGAGTGCTCTGATCGTCATTGTCATCAGGTAAATATGAGTCAGGTGAAGTCAGCTGGTATGGAATTCGCGTGAACTGCAGTAATGTTGTGATATCTACTGCCTGTTGAATATTTGTGAAGATGTCGTAATGTTATTTATTATATATTTATCGTATTTTAAGATCGGACACTGAATACCGGAGAGCTTCGGAATAAACAATATTAATTTTGTCAAGTACAGACAGAATTGGAATTAATTTTAATATTTACCTTTAAAGTGAATTTTAACTGTTTGTTTTTGAAAAAAATCAGAGGAGGTGATTTAGATATAATATATTAATTTAGTCGTAATAATAATAATAAAACATAAGGAACAATAAAACTTTTCGTTATAGCTACGGCTATATGAGATTAATTATTATTTTCTTTAATCGCCTGCATAAATTGTAATAACAAAACTCATAGCTTCAACTTATTGCAACCAATTGACTAGTTTACTAGGTTTAAAATAAATTGTTTCAACTTTTCAATGCAATAAATAATTAAAAAATAATCATACTCTCATCCATTGATGTGACAATTTACCTACATTTGGATTTTTTTCTCGCTAATTTTAAGGAAATAAGTACGCTGTTTGACGCAGAAATATGATGACGTCATAAGTTGCGATCCAATACAAAATTCATAAGAAAAGTATCGTTTTTGACATTTAAATAAAAGTATTGTAAGTACTATTTCATATTCATTGTTCATTATTATTAACTATTTCATATATTCTATTCAAGTGTAGCTCTTCTAAGTAACGTTAACACGATTAAAAAGGTAGGCAGAGCCGCACAAATACACTGTAACATACACCACAGATGGGCCTCTCATTGAGAAATTTTCGGAAATAGTTGTAATAAAATCCTGAACTTTGATGTTCTGCAGTAAATTCTTCTTTGATTATTTGTCAAAATGTGTGAAATAGATAAATAACAATGTAACACGCGTTTTATCCCCGAAGGGGTAGGCAGAGGTACACATTACCGCACTTAATGCCACTGTACAATGTAACACCCACTTTTCACTATTATGTTATGAGTCCCATGTAATAGAGGGTGAACCTATTGCCATATACCGGGCACAATTCCTGACTCCGTGCTACTGAGAATTTTTTCCCAGAATACTTTACATTTTTGATTTTATACTGTCCTGTCTGTATATATTTGTTTGTATACCTATTAACCTATTGACATGATATAATGTCTACTAACAATAGTTTATTACTAACAAGAGTATGGACATAAACTGAAATAAATGATTATTATTAAAAGAAAAATCCAATAGGTAATACTTTACCCGACCGAATCGAATCCCTTGCCGGATACTCGGCAAACGAGGCAGTGAAAGAGATATAAGATGTATCATATAACTGAACTATTGTCTATAAGTAGAGGTAGTTTCCTGATACGGAATAATTCCTATTCACATTTTTTCACGAGTCCTATCGTGGTTACTGGACCGTAACATAAGCAATAATATATGAAAACGTTGTTCATTTTATTTCGATTATACGAAACTAGTATAATACGCAAGCAAAAGTAAAACTCCAAAATAAATCATTATCAAATTCTTTATTACACCTTAGAACTAAATAACAACAAAATATTTACAACACATACACACAGACACCCATACAACAACACACAACAACAATACAACAACATAACAAGGCGGTAGGTTGAAATATAAAACTTCAATATTTTAAAATAAACGAACAAATTCCTATTTGTTTTCCATTACATTATGGAAAACGCTGACCTTCTGTAAATGTAAATAGCATTAGAGTTGCTTTTCCTTTAAAACTCGAATAAAAGAATAGATATTTCAAAAGCTAAAATTACGATATGTATGTCCAAATGTTTTAAAGAATTAAACTGGACAGTTATCGGAAAATTTTGACAGTCTCTCTTATTCCTTGGAGACAAAGGACCAATTTTGCAATTGTGGATAGAAGGACCAATGAGGTTTACGTCACGTTGGTTGAATCTAGAGATATTTTGCAGCTAAATGGAACTAATTTTCTTTTTGAATAATTTTAGTGGTCCTTTGCACATCCAAAGAGTGTTAGTACCAAACTATTTCTATTTAAATCTTGTGCTGTCCTTTCTTAGTGTGGATGATAGTTTCATAAACGGGGACCTTGAAAGGCACCGGCTTTTCAACTGGAACCAAAATGTGCTTCACCACTTCAAAAGGCACTTCTTTGACTTTTGGTACATGAACAATCTTCTCCACTGGGTAGGGAACAGACTTCTCAACGGGGATAGAAACTTCTTTGATGATGGGGATCACTACGGCCTTCGGTACAGGGACCTGAATTGGAATCGGGTGTGGTACAGGAATGATTACCGGCTGATTGATTTTAAACTCTACGTTCTTAGGCAGAGGGACGACAATTTCTTTGTAGTGCTTGATTGGTTCAGGGTTTTCTTCTTCGACGTGTTGGTGGACTGGGTAGACGTGGGCCTTGAGGTCGTGTCCACCGAAGTCGTGTCCTCCTAGGTCGTGGCCTCCATAGTCTCCACCGTCGTGGCTTCCACCGTGGCCGCCGAAATCGTACCCGCCTGAATAGTCACTGGCTTGGAACTGTGGAGAAAGAAAAAGGTATTTTAGTTTTTTGTTAGCATAGATATTTTATTATTGTAAAAGATTTTAGAGTGTCGGAGAGCCATGCTTCGGCACGAATGGGCCGGCTCGACCGGAGTGATACCACGGCCTCACAGAAAACCAACGTGAAGCAACGCTTGTGTTTTGTTGCGTCGTGCGAGTGAGGTTACCGGAGGCTCAATTACCCCCTTCCCCAATCTCCACAATCCCTGAATCCCCAACAATCCTCAAACTCCTAATCCCCAAAAGGCTGGTAACGCATTTGTAACAACTCTGGTGTTCCAGGTGTCCATGGGTGACGCCAATTGCTTACCATCAGATGATCCGTCTGCTTACTTACCGGCTTATGCCATAAAAAAAGATGTGTTGGGATTTTATTGATGGATAAAATCATTAAGTTTTGTTAGACTATCGTTTAATACAATGTACTTATTTAGTACTTTTACATAGACTTGTAACAAAATACCCTTTTTCCAATTTTCGAATTGAATTTCGAATCAGTTTGCTCTCATTGATTGGAATGAAATTAACTACGTGCCTGCCTACCGGTTGGTTTAAACATTTTTATTTTATTACACTTTATTTGCAAAGACGTCGTGGTGGCCCGGAGTTTGAAGACACCTGCTTCTCATGCACGAGGGTGCAGGTTCGAAACTTACCAACGGCAAGTACCAATGTGACTTTTTCAGAGTTAAATGTACTTTCTAAGATTATTTAGACACCACTGACCAACGGTGAAGGAAAACATCGTGAGGAAACCTGGGCTTATAATTTCTAATTATAAGTTTGAAATCGCCAACCCGCATTGAGCAAGCGTGGTGATTATTGCTCTAACCTTCTCCATGTGAGAAGAGGCTTTGCTCAGCAGTGGGCATTTATAAGCTGTTGATGATGATGATGACACTTTATTTCATCGCAGAACACCTGTCTACTAACGGTCTGTCTACTAAGAAATTCAAAATTGAATTAGATAAGAGTGTAAGAAGTAAAAATGTAAGTAGTGAAAAGTGGGTGTTACATTGTACAGTGGCATTAAGTGCCGTAATGTGCACCTCTGCCTACCCCTTCGAGTATGAAAGATGTGATGTTATGTTAGGAGAAAGGTATGATATAAAACAGAAAGTAGTTTGTGATAGAATGACATTTTATAAAGGAGAATGTAAAAAGAAATAGGTGATGCTCTTTTGTTTGTATCTATGAAACGACATGAAACTAAAGTAAGTTTATGTGTGTTTCCAATGTTATACTTAGAAAGTGGGTATGTGTGTGTGAAGCAATGAACAGCACAGCAATAGATCAGGTGTCAGATGTGTGTGGCACCTCTGCCTACCTCTTCGAGGATTAACTGTGATGTTATGTTTCTATTTAACTCTAATAATGTAAACAATATTTGTGATTGAACCGTTCATTTTTAACGGCAAAATCCTCCCAGAATCGGTTACTCGACAATTTAATAACAGCATCAGAAAAAAAAACGCAAACGTTGCCGGCGCAACGCCATGCTCGCTATTTAGTCTGTGGTTCTTTTTTTTATTTTGTCGCAGTCTGTGGCCCGTATTACTTTTTGCGTTGACGTTTTTATTTTCGTTCGGTAAGTTGCTGTAACGCTTAGCCAATCGGTTTGTTACGTTCGGAAACTTAGTTATTAGAGCATAACTTTTGATATAGAATAGTTTATGTAACGTCTGTAATAATTTGGTTTTGTTTTTTTTTAATATTTGAGGTTTGGGTGATTGGAATGAGGAAAAGGTGTTATGGGCTCAATTTTACGGAGTTTCATTCAATAATCAGTAATGAGCTCATCCACTTCTTATTGGACTAATTTCGTAATAGAAAATCTTGACTGCACGATTGACACGGTGGCTGGGCAACCGGCTATCGCGTAACGAGTCGCGGGTTCGATTCCCGCTCGGAACAACTCTGTGTGATCCACAGATTGTTGTTCCGCGTCTGGGTGTCATGTGTATGTGAACTTGTATGTTTGTAAACGCACCTACGACACAGTAGAAAATCCTAGTGGGGGGCAACGTTTTTATAAAATAAAAAAAAAATCAATACATTCACAAACATTGTGGTATTTCACTACTAGATGCAAAACAGTACTGTCAGAAATATTCCCAAAAGCCTATTTGCTACTACTAGAGGTATTTTACCTCTCAACAAAACCATAAAATTACGAGTTTCACCTCACTTAATGAAGGAACATAAAAAAACCGTTACTGCTACGTTTCCAATAAAAATCCATGAAAACAACGAACAATGCGTACTAGGGCGTCTTGAAAACATAATAAAAAAAGATATAAGGAAAGAGAAAACATATAATATGCTTTTATGACATTTTATATATTTCTGTTAAAGAAAATATAACGTTACACTTTTAGCATTCGGGGGTCCGTGGACTTGTCTATTAGATTAACTAAAAATGGCCGATTACCCACATGAAAATACTGAGAAAAGGTCGTACATGTCTTAAGCCACAGAGGGGTTCTTCCTCTAGAGATTTTGTCGGAATAAGTATCAGGTATCGGTAGTATCGGGGGTAGGGAGATGTCTACAGTGCACTTACTGAATTTCACACCCATATTTCACCAATTGGGTACTTGCGTTAATCAAAAATAAATTAACTATATCATTATGTTTAATACAATCTATATATATTTATATATATAAAAGAAAGTCGTGTTAATTACACCACTTACAACTCAAGAATGGCAGAATAGATTTGGCTGAAAATTGGTAGGGAGGTAGCTTAGAGCCAGGAGACCGACATAGGATACTTTTTAACCAATTTTTTTTTTTACTTTTTAAAAAATGGGATTACGCGTACGAAGTCGCGGGCAGAAGCTAGTAATATATGAAAAAATCACACTTTCATTAATTGATTTTGTAACTAACTTAATTTTTTTCGAGCTAATTTTTAAGAATTTAGTATGCTGGATGTCGCTAAAAAATCGTGACATCACAATACACAGCTTCGTACAAAACTATCGTTTTTGACAGGTCGAAATAAGTATTGAATTTGACTAGTTGGCAAGTATGCATGTTAAAAGTGCCACATGATAAAACTAGTCATTAGTCTATTGCCATTTCCCATTTCCCAAGTAAAGTTAATAATAATTTGCCGAACTTGAGCCCTAAAGAGGCCTTAGCAGTACGAGATTATTTTACATTTAAAGTAATCGTAACGAGTACGCGTTCGGCGCTCTGATTGGTTGGTTGGTACTAAGGCCTCTGTTTTTCTTTTTTTTATGGCATAAGCCGGTAAACGAGCATACGGATCACCTGATCGTAAGCAATCGGCGTCGCCCATGGACACCTGGAACACCAGTGGCGTTACAAGCGCGTTACCGGCTTTTTGAGGATTAGAAGTTTAAGGATCGTTGGGGATTCAGGGATTGGGGATGGGGAGGGTAATTGGGCCTCCAGTAACCTCACTCACACGACGAAACACAACGCAAGTGTTGCTTCACGTCAGTTTTCTGTGAGGCCGTGGTATCACTCCGATCGAGCCGGCCCATTCGTGTCGAAGCATGGCTCTCCCACACTTATTTACCTTTCGAACAAAATTTCAGAAAATTGGCGGGACGGAACCACAGATGCTAAAACAACTCTAATACCAAAGTTGCCAGGAAATAAATAGCTCACCCCAAATGTATTACCGTTGAATTTTTTAATATAAGTTCGGTATACAAAGAGTCTGTTTTTTATGTGGCAACATCAAACGACTGAAGTACAGGATTAATAATATCGTCCTCATTTTGTAGGGAATGATAAAACTGTGGTTCTTATGTATTACATTGTATTGTATTATTTAGTCTGTATTTACGATGAAGAAGGAAATCGAGGTGTAATTTTTATTGTGAGTATTAACACGTTTTTTAATAGAATAGGTATTGCGGATTGCTCAAAGACTTTTTTGATTATGCTCATAGATATGGCCAATGAAATTTTATATACATTATATCAGATTTATTAATTACACTCGATACTTTTTGGGCTATTGAGTATTTCTAAACTTGCAAGGTTAACCCACTTTGGTAGGTGAAGGTTTGATTAAGTTGAAGGGAAGATGAAGGATTCTTCAAGTGACCTAACGAGACTACGCCGCGTTCGTTGATACGCAATGCTTTTAATGACTATGGGCTCTTACGGCGGCACGAAACTAGTCGAGTCACCTCGTTGAATATTGTACGTAAATAAACTGTACAAGATAGTAATTTAAGTGTCTGTTTTACCACCTTCTTATAAGTATTAGATAAGCTTATATAGTAGATAGGTCACACAAATTATGTTCTATATCTACACAGATATTAATCAAATTGTAGTCTGTTTGTAATATTAAAATAACCGCTTTTTACTACATACATATTATGAATATACATATACATACGATACCCATACCAAAATAACATATTTTAAAATTTTTGTCTGTATATCTGACTGTATTCGCTAATCTGTGGTATGATTTCTGTATGTTTGTCTGTCTGTTTGTATTGGCTAATCTCTGTAATGGCTGAACCAATTTTGACGGGACTTTTACTGGGAGGTAGTTGATGTACTATGAAGTGAAATAGGCTAAATATATTTTGTACAATTAAAACACAAAAAAGTTATGTCCTAAAATTCATATTTTAGCCTAGGACATAAAGAACGAAGTCGAGGGCAACAGCTATTTCTTTAAATGTTACGTAATGTCTATCCAGATCATAAATTTACATTAAAAATACAAGCTTAAACATAATGTTAGTCTCACTTGTTGATCATGTTGAGAGGCTGCCTCCTGGAATGGTGAGGAAGCTTGTTGCAGCAGGCTGTTGTACGGGGTCCACTGCATCTCCGCTGCGAAGCTGGTAGCCAGCAACGCGCTCATACACTGCAATTAAAGGTAAACTTTAAGTTAAGGGTATATGAACTATTTTATACTAGTATACTAAGCGAAGATACACCGCAGACAAATTTACACTTTATTTTGCGGAAATATGGACTACATTTTGATATCAACAAAGAAAGAAGTAGGTAGTAGATTATGTTAGCTGTTCGTATATTTTTTCCTTTTTGTTTATTTACATGTTAGACTTGACGTAATGAAATCTAGACTTTAAGTTTAAAGACTAAAGGTTGCTTTACTGTTATTTTCTCTACCTAAGACGTTTTGCCTTGATCACCACGCTTTGTAGGCGATGAAGACCACAGTTTACATGGTTCTAATTTATGATCTTATCTATATATACGCCATAACTTGAGAATGGCTGGACCGATTAGGCTGATTTCTTTTTGTTGTGTTTGTTATTGTCAGGAGATGTTTCTTACGATAGAAAAAATCCTAAAAATCTTATGAGAACGGGAGAAAACGAGATTGCGCGTACGAAGTCGCGGGCAGAAGCTAACTATCTATAAATGACTTCACGGTTGGTACGGTGGCTCGGTAACAGGCTGCCGCGCAACGTGTAGCGGGTTTGATTACTGCACAGAACAACTCTTTGTGTGATCCACAAATTGTTATTTCGCGTCTGGGTGTCATGTGTATGTGAACTTGTATGTTTGTTAACACACCCACGACACATGAAATAAATCCTAGTGTAGGGCAGGCAACGTATAAAAAAATGAAAAAATGAGAGAGCACTATCCAACCTCTTTTAAATGATGTAGCTACGATACCCGTGGGAAGACGGGAGTGATCACAAATATATTCTATTCTGCGTTACCACATGGCTCATGTCTTTACTACTCTTGCTAATTACTTGTCATACAATGTGTTAACAATTATATATAATACACAAGTAACTGCATTGTACACGACACATGCAACAATGCAGATGTCGTATGATTAATGGCTTTCACCTGGCACTCGCGGCTTCCTTCACTAAACTGTTATGTTTCCTGGACTGTGTTTAGAAGATCTTATTGTTTCTTAGTATATTACGTACATCTGTTATTTAAAAGGATAGATAAACTTTTATGGTATTAGAGGGGGCTGACTTAACGGGTTGCTGGGGCTCCGGCTCGAAGGGCAAGAGTAGGAACGGGGTGGTTTTTAGTCAGTAAGAGTCTGACACTCCCTCCCGCTTCACCTAGGTGGGAGAAGTCATTCGATGATTTTCCCCCATTAAAAAAATGGTATTAACAAGTTATAATTTAAGTATGTTAAAATATTTTAACTGTTTTTATATGTGCATGCTGTGTTAGCTAGTAAGCAGTTGTTACACTTATTTATCAAAATATTATTTATAATGACGTAATGAATATATACCTAAGTGTAAATAACCGTTGGTTAACCTAATAGGTATATAAGTATATAGGAGGCGAACTAAAGAAGCACATAGATAGAACTCAATCGAAAAACTCAAAAAACACGTAAACTTTGAGGCAAAGTAAACTATACGTTTGACAATAAACTGAAACTTTTATAATCCGATCTTCAACACGACTGTAGGTAAATTGTAGAAAATATGAAATACTCTCGAAGGACTACAGTCCTATTGTGAACTGTTGATAATCATGGCTTTTTTATGGGATAAGCCACTAAAGGAGCAGACGGATCACCTGATGGACAACCGAAACACCAGACGCGTTACAAGTGCGTTACCGGCCTTTTGGAGATTAGAAATTAAGGATTGTAAGGGATTAGGAGATTGGCAACGAAACACAACACAAGCGTTGTTTCACGTTGGTTTTCTGCTCGACCGTGGTATCACAGTATCACTCCGGTCGAGCCAGCCTATTCGTGCCGAAGCATGGCTCTTCCACACTTACAATAGTTTCAAAATATAAGGAAATCTTCTGAAATTTTCGGAAACTACAAACAGCAACCTAGTTTAATATAAGGACACGTCACGTAAGCATGTCTACGTAAATTTATTAATTTCATTGAATAACCTATCAACGTCTGAACTTCTGAGATCCTAAGTTAATATTGCAAGGAGGTTATAAGGTTAAAAGTGACGGCGGAGACTCCCACGTAAAAACCCGTCGACTAAGGTATCTAGTTACTATCATTAATGGTTGGTTTACTACGCCAATCAGTAGCTAAAGGTCAATGTAACGCTAGGATATTTGATATTCTTACGTAGTTCGGTTTTGGTCCTTTGGTAGTTGAAAAGGACCAGGTTTTGAGTTTGTCTATAAATAGATAAATGTTTTTGAAAGGCTTGCTTTTGTTGTGTATTTTGAATTTATCTGTCTTTTGTTTTTTTTTCACGTTGGACGGAAGATGCTGCCGAATTAGTAGGCCTTTAGCCAAACACCACTTTAGCGCTTGTCTATAGAGAGAGTAGAAATCAAAATGTCACTGACAAGTGTCAAAATTTACGTCAATACCATATAATTTGGTTTTCTATTCTACATGTAGACAAGCGCTAAATGGCATTTGGCTACAGCTGCAGGCTAGAAGCCCGGGATCGGTTGTAAATAGTTAGACAAAGATCTGGTTTTTTAATTTAAAATCTTTTATGTGAAAGTTGGTTACATTTATTTTAGTTATTTTGTCTAAGCGATATGTATGTTTTTTTAAATAGACAAAGAGTTTCTCATTTTATTTTTGGTCAAGTAACAATGATACCTAACATTCTCCATATAATGGACACACGTCACACGCCACATGCAAAAATAGTTACAAAAAAGCGATGTAAAGTTAAACTATCATACGTTTTTTGACCTCGGTGTAAATAATATTTATACCTACGTTGTTTTTTAGTTATTTTTATTGCGCATTTTTTGTATTTTACCTATTATTTACAAACACGTAGCTGTTATTGCCGAGATATTTTATTTTTGGGTAAAAACAATGCCCATATTGATATTGATCTGTTATGGCAATAAATATGAATTCAAAGCTTTTTATTGTTTTTGCGAAATAATATGTGGATTCGTGCTAAAAGCTTTTTCTATTCAGTTTTTTTCGTTTCTACTAAAATTTTTCGGCAGAAGTAGGTACTGACTTTGTAATAGACTTAGATCCAGTATTTATATGGCAATAAACTCACCCCTCTTACGTAAGACTCCTAACATTACTAGGAAAAAGAGAATATTACATTATATTTGCACATGTCTGCTTGCCTCTTTGAAGGTTAAAAGGCGTAAAGTTAACTAAAAATAACGGTTTGCACACGTAAATATACTGAGAAAAGCTCTACTAGTTTCGAATCATAGAGGGACTCTTCCTCGTGAGCAGCGACCGCGATGGCGGAGACGACATTTCGCAGCGTGATATTATGTTCATGATTCATTATTTTCCACATTAAATAGTTTTATACATAAGCATAACAAAGAAAATATAGATAATACGGTAGTTAACAACTAGTCAAATTCTATACTTTGATCGAAACGTCAAAAACGATACTGTTCTATGAATTTTGTACGAAATACCATCTTATGACGTCATCATATTTTAGCGTCAAATAGCACACTTACATCTAAAACAATGCTAAAATAAATTGAAAATTAAGTATATTATCGGCAAATCAATGAATGAAAGTGTAACTATTTTTCAATATTTAATTGGACTGACAAATCAAAATCCTTACTATTATAAATGGGAAAGTGAGTTTGTTTGTTTGTTCCGCTTTCACGCCGTAACTTCTAAACCGATTGCTTTGAATTTTTGCAGACGTAAAATTAGAAGTCCGGATTAAATAATAGGGTACTTTTATCCCGGAAAATTTCGGTATTCCCGAGGGAAAACAAAAGACTTGATATAGATGGCGCTGTGTGTATTATGTGTATCCTTTTGTGACGCGAGCGAAGCCGCGGGTAAAAGCTAGTAATTTATATTTGACACAGGAAACTACCCAATTATTACCTAGCGCACTAAAAGATGGTGTCTTTCTTTTATTGAAGAAAAATCTAAATCTACCACATCAGAAGTACAAATCCATACATAGCTCATTCTAGTTTACAATTTAGAGCTTTTGGAAAACTAGCCATGTAGCTGAATAGCCTTGCAAAGAAAATAAACTACGTATAGGGACGTTAAGTGCCAATAAATAATGAAATGTGTGGCGTTGAGAGGAAGGTATCAAATCGTATATCTTTATGCTACAGTTATTTTGTTACTGGCCATAGAATAGACTGTCGTTCAAATGGGCGGTGACAAATTGGCACAAGAATAGAATGGAACATGGTCTATTGATAACCATTATTTTGTAAATATGGCACTTAATGCCACTGTACAATCAAATGTAACACTTACTTTTCAACTATTTATCTTGTAAGTCCCATGTAATAGGGGGTGAGCCTATTACCATATACCTGGCACCATTCCAGACTCCGTGCTACTGCTCAGATTTTTTTTAAATCCCGATAACCGAGTGGTTGCAAGTGTGACTCTCCGGTAAGGGGTTCGATTACCGGGTCCGGTAAAGTATTACTGGGATTTAAAAAGAAATCAGCAGTAGCACGGGGTCTGAATTCGTGCCAGGTATATACCTGGTCATTAATCATTAATATTGTCATATGACAATATTAATGATTAACCTTCTACGTGTGAGAAGAGGCTTTGCTCAGCAGTGGGCATTTATAGGCTGTTGATGATGATATGACAATAGGTTCACCTCTTTTTACATCGGACTTATAACATAAAAAGAATGAAAAATGAGTGTGACATTGTACAGTGGCATTAAGTGCCGTAATGTACACCTCTGCCTACCACTTCGGGATTAAAGTCGTGATGTTATGTTGGGAGAAAGGTATGATATAAAACAGAAAGGAGTTTGTAATAGAATGACATTTGATAAAAGAGAATGGAAGAAGAAATAGGTGATGCTCTTTTGTTTGTATCTACGTAACCACAGTTATGAAACTAAAGTAAGTTAATGTGTGTTTCCATTGTTATACTTAGAAAGTAGGTATGTGTGTGTGAAGCAGTGAACAGCACAGCGATAGATCAGGTGGATCTAGCGATGTTCGAAGCTTGCCGCTGATATACTGAGTCTGGGAATATACGGGAGATTGTCCTTCGAGACGCGCGCGTTTGTAATTCTTTGGATATTTTCTGAGTAGGTAACAATCATTTTTCATTCTTCTCCTAAACAGATATCTGTATATTTTCTACTAGAACTCTTAAATTCAAAATGGTTATTTTAGTTTAAATATTAAAGATGTTTTTCCTGGCTCCAATGTATGCAATATTTTATTTTTTATATATTTTTTTTTAGCCAATGTCATCCCACTGCAGGTCAAAAGCCTCGGATCCCTACCTTCCTTCCACTTGTCTCTTTCAAAGCTTTCTGTGGCCAATCCTTTTCATCGTATGCATGTACAGACTTCCTGATGGTATTAAATGTCTATGCTTTAAAAATGCTACAGATTGATTTATCATGCAATCTTTCATTTTGATTCTCCCATTATCTATAAAAATGAAACCTCTTTCCCGTTGTCGCGCTATTACTTGAGAACGGCTAGACCGATTTGGCTGATTTTTTTTTTGTTGTATTTGTTATCATCAGGAGAAGGTTCTTATGACAGGAAAAAGTCCTAAAATCGTACGGGAATTGGAGATACGGGATTGCGTGTACGAAGTCGCGGGCAGAAGCTAGTGTGTAATACCTCTAAATTAACCATAACTCATTGATAAAAATTGAAAATTCACACCCAGCGACACTATCTGCGACTACTAAACTAACTGAACCATCTTTGAAAACATCTTCAGCTTCACCCACCAAGATAACACTTTAAACAACCCTTTCTAATAACCTACAACTATCGGCACCGCACACATTACTGCCCCCTACATTTCAATTCTGAGAAACCAGTATAAAATGCGTGAAATGGCGTGCGATGATACATGGAGCGAGCAACAAGCCCCCGCCGGTTATTTATTGCAGATAAAAACAGTTTTTAGTCTTTAATCTTATTATATGAGCAAATATAAAAAGGTCTTTGTCACTGAGGTGGAATAAGAAAATAAAAAAGCTGTGTATAGGATAATAGAGATAAGCAGTGTGGAAACGGCAATGTCGATGCTAAATACGTTTGTAGCAATTTGTAACCTTTCCATGGGTATTAACAAATGGGAGATAGATGACAAAGGCCGGTCAGCAGCATTCTTGGGCCTGATCTGGGGGCTTACTCTAGAATCCAATTCCGATCGATCGACATTGGTGTTGCGAAATTTCGTACTCTTGAGTTGTAGCACTAGCGCCCATTGCATCTATATTGGGAGGATATTGAATGATCTATATTATTGAGTTTGGCTTCATATTTCGTACTCTGAATGCTATTTAACAGCTACGATTGGGGTTGTATTGTGCTGACATTGAATAATTATTGAGATTTTATTGGATTGACATTGAGATTAGTTTCAAGAGTAAGCGACCTGAACTTTATAAACTGTGATATTCAAGTTTTGTCCTCTTTTTAAAGAGGCAATGCAAATTAGACACTCTTTTAAGAGGACGTTTGTAGCACATTTTTTATAGGATAAGCCGGTAAACGAGCAGATAGATCACCTAATGGTAAGTAATCGGCGTCGCCCATGAACACCTGGAAAACCAGAGGCGTTACAGGTGCGTTACCGACCTTTTAGGGAATATTAGAAATTCAGGGATTGGTTGGGGGAAATTGGGTCTCCGGTAACCTCACTCACACGACGAAACATGCGTTGTTTTACGCCGTTTTTCTGTGAGGCCGTGGTATCACTCCGGTCTAGACGGCCTGTTCGTGCGGAAGCATGGCTTTCTCACACTTTTTATTTATTCTTCTTTACACAAAGTTACAGTGATTGGCGGACTTCATGCCTTAAAGCATTCTCTGACAGTCAACCACAGGAAAGCGCAAAGAAATAAGCGGTCGGTTCCTAGCCAGAACATACCTAATTTTAAAAAAATATGTAAGTACCTAGGCAAGTTTAGATATAATTTCTTTTTGGTTTATATCTAAAAAAAATAATAGTACGAGGTACGTATGCATGTATCTGGTAGGTAGGTACGTATTTTTTTTTTTAAGGGCGGAAAACCATCGAATTACTGCTCCCGCCTGGGTGAGGCGAGAGGGAGTGTCCGACTCTTACTGACTAAAAACCACCCCGTTCCTACTCCTGCACGTCGAGCTGCAGCACCGGTAACCCGTCAGGTTCTCCGCGAATCCGGTAGGTACGTATTAGTTTATTTATTATTTTAACATAACTTTGTTTGTAAAGATACTATTTTAGCCGGGCCTAATTTTTTTTCTTCTTCAAAATTGTCTTTATCTAAAAGTCGATGTTGAGCAAGTTTCTTTACTGTTCAGTATTCCGAGAAAACCTATAACTAATGTTCATTAGATGAGTCAGTACAGTTATAAAATCTTTGTCTTCGCAAAATATCTGCATACTAAATTGCATTTAACCTAGTCCTTAAGTACTAATGGGATGGATTTTATAGATTTCCTTAGAGTTATTATGTAGTTTGAAAACCGTTTTTGACTAAGTTTATTAAATCATGACACGTCTAATCTGTTACAAAACAACCAAAAGTTAATCAAATTAAAAAACCCGGCGCCATTTTTAAAACCGCGCAAAATTCTCCCTTCAAAAATTGCATTTATTAAGTCGCTGTCGTTCCTTTTTTGAAAACTGTGGCGGGCACAGCTGGGGACATGAGATACATCGTACACTACTGACAAATATAACTTGACCTGTCTGGTCATCGTACAAGTGTATCATTGTCTCGTTCCTTCTTATTGGTCGTAGCTATCGCCATCGTGCTCTTGCATTTATAGGACTAACTTCAAAGAGGTCAATATTAATTGTATGTTGTGCATCACGTTTACATTTTACAGTTTTTCTAACTGAAATATTTACTTTGAACTGTACTTGATTTTAATTAAAGAATATTTTAAATGTCTAGGTAGAGTGATGAGAAATACGACTGTCAAAACAATCGACTTTAAATTTGATTCACGTATACGGTAAAAATATTGGCATTTTCCAAAAAGTTCACTGATAGCACTGCCATCTTAGTTTGAAGTGATGTAATGTTTTTTTTTTCAATTTTGAAATAACTAATAATACTTTGTCCCCAAGAATTGCTCCCAAGACCTCTTACTCGACCACCGCACTTACGACCACTAGACCAAAAGGCAGTCACATAATAATAAAACACCCATTTCCTACGTCCTAATTTCCTCACTATTACAAAATAACCACCACCATTATAAAAATGAACACAAAAAAGCCACTTATGTATGTATTAGCAAAAAAAATTTCACAAAAACTCACATATAAAATTACTGAGCACATTTTGATGTATCGCGGAGCGTTTCACAAGTGTCTGTGATGGCACAATAGAGTGCACTGCTGTTTTATAGTCTGGTGACTGGTGACTATTCGTTCTGCGAAGCTCTCGACTGTTTTAGGGGCCCGTAAGTATATTAGAGCCAAGTCTAAAGCGTCTTGAGGTTGGCATCTTATCTTACCTATATAATAAATGTAAAATTTTGTGTGTATGTTTGTAACTCATTACGGCTGAAGGGATTGGGATAAAATTTCATAATAATATTAATTTTTTTCGATCGAGAATCCTATCATATCATATCATCATCACGAACATCATATCATCACGAAATAGATCAGACCTAGTGATCTGAAATATCACACAGGCTACTTTTTATCCTACGGGAACGTGGGCGAAGGCTCGGGTAGAAGCTATAGTTGTTAAATAAATCGATCAAAATTTATATCAATAAAAAAGATCTATTTTAATTATTGAATTCCTATCAAAACCTCAGATTGATTAGATATTTTATTTGTTTTTTTTTATGGGATACCTAAGCCGGTAAACGAGCAGACGGATCACCTGATGGTAAGCAATCGGCGTCGCCCATGGACACCTGGAACACCAGAGGCGTTACAGGTTCTTCACTGGCCTTTTGGGATTTGGAATTTGAGGATTGTTGAGGACTCAGGGATTGTGGAGCACCGGTCGTTCATCGACATCATCATCATCTCTTGCCGCTAACTAGACCGTAAAGGAATAAACCTTTCTTCGCAAATGTTTCTTACATATCACTTCATGAATTGTTTTTCTTATCAATCCAGGAATAGGGATGATGACAGGGTATGAAAGTCAGTCAGTTATGTAATGAGAAAATATTTGACACGTATTTTTTTATTTTGTCGTATAATAAAACATTACTTAGATAAAACAAATCAAGGTTTAGGAATGGGAGGTAGCTACGTCATTTTAGAGTATAAATCGTAGGTACTCAAAAGTGACGTCATGCGATATTTCACATCAATATAGGTATCTTCGAAACGATTCGTTTCCGTAAGAAATTAAGATATACGTGTCTAATAATTTAAAATACTTAATCTACCAGACGGACATTAAAATAAAAATTAGTCATCTACCCTATTCCAATATAGACGATAGCAACAGTTTCTCTAATCAAAAATCAACATACCTCTATTAATATTCGCTAAAAACCTTCTCTTTCTAAAAGGACTAAAAATAAATATCTTGGCAACAAAAATCCTTTTTAAAACCAAACCACAGATACTTAGTTAGAAAACTAAATAAAATAACAAGAAAAACTCTCATTAAATACACAGACATCATTAAAACATTTTTTGTACAGAACCAGACCTCCTAATGACGGGTCTATGTGAAGCAAAAATCTTTTATTTTGTTCTATATAGACAACCAAATTCACTTGATACTTTGTACAAAACAACTTTCTAACACTTAGAGGTCAGTGTAAATTGGACGGTTATATCATCGAATCCGTTCTTAGTATGAAAATAAAAAAGAAGTATTTATACTTGTTGTTCAATTTACATTGCGTTGTTTGAAAGAAGCGTTGATTTAAAAGTCAGTGTCTAACCAGCAATGGTTTAAAAACAAAGTGTGATATTCGTTATTTTGATCTAGTTCCGTTAGTTATTTTTTGGTCTGTTTTCAGATCGATTCGGTATAGTAATTGAATGAGAGTAATTCGAGAGCGTAACTATTGTAGAGTACATAACTAAATTGGTTAAAGTACTTTCCTTACTTTATGGAAGGGACTAATGTCAACATGAAAGGTACACAATATTTACTTACGGTCCAATGATTGACACAAATTACTTGTTGAACCGGGTCAGCTATTTAACTTGACATAATTAAAGTTGTTGGGTAATTGGGGCTCCGAAAACTTCACTCACACGACGAAACACAACACAATAACACAAGCGTTGTTTCACGTCGGTTTTCTACTCGACCGTGGTATCACTTCAGTCGAACCAGCCCATTCATGCCGAAGCATGGCTCTCCCACACTTATAGTATTAGAAGTATTGTACTTTGTCACGTAGGCCTAATTATTATAGCCATCAGTTCACCACAGATGGGGCCTAGTATGGTTGATGCCCGATACGGCGCCGCGGAAGGCCTAACGGATTGCCGGGGCTCTGGCTCGAAGAGCTGGAGTAGGAACGGGGTGGTTTTTAGTCAGTAAAAGTCTGACACTCCAACTTACCTAACCCAAGGCGGGAGAAGTCATTGAATGATTTTCCCCTCTGAAAAATGGCCTAATTATTATAGCCTACTTACTTTTAACGGCCATTTGCAATAAATGCACTTTTAAGTATTAGGTACTCATATTTCTACTTCCTCTTTTAAGGCATAACATGCATTCAGTAAGACGTTGAATAAAAGGCGGACATAATATCACGTAGAAATGACTGAAGCACCAAAATGCCAGTATATTTTTATGTGTACCTAAGTACCTATGTAATAGGTTACAACGTTACCAGAAAACGTCCCCCCTTAAAAAAAAACTTTAATGACAGACAGACGGACGGACAATGTAAAAGTGCCTAATTAAGTATTAATTAAAATAAATGTTTTGACTTTGACTTTGTCAATGTGTTTATTGTTCTGCGTGTGTTGTATTACTATACCAGGTGCCACAGTTTCTACCTTTTTTACCGACTTCGAAAAAAGGAGGAGGTACATATTCGGCTGATTGTTTTTTTTTTAACGTCCTTGCATTTAGTTACGTTTTATACGTAACACATTACTCTATCCATTTTTATTCTTATTGTAATTATGCAAAGATGGAAGTGCAGCGAGCATTATGTAAACAAATGTTCATACATAACATACAATCTTAAAGTGTGAATTGAAATGTATGAGGAAGAGATACTATCGCGTGTTTATCATTGCGCTTCTGTTTCAAAAGCTTGCTCTGATGTGATGACATGTAGGAAGAGGAACCGTTGAGTACGGAACCTTGTCATTCAGTGGCCAGAAATAATCCTGGAGCCAACACATCATTATTATTCAATTATTAGCCCAATTAAGAATGGGACTGCCTCATTGGCCGAGTGGTCGCAAGTGCGATTGCTGGGCAAGGGGTCTCGGGTTCGATTCCCGGGTCGGGCAAAGTATTACTGGGTTTTTTAAAAATCTCAGTAGTAACACGGAGTCTGGAAATGTGCCCGGTATATGGCAATAGGCTCACACCCTATTACATGGGACTCATAACATAAATAGTGAAAAGTGGGTGTTACATTGTACAGTGGCATTAAGTGCCGTAGGCAATGTGCACCTCTGCCTACCCTTTCGGGGATAAAAGGCGTGATGTTATGTTATGTTATATAATGGTGGTGAAAACTTTTAGAACTATAAAATTGCTTTTTTTCATTTACATTGTTTAGTATAAGACTGCAGAGTGCAGACCTTAGTATAATTTGACTTAACTAGAAATCAAACCTGACCTACATCCTGTCAGCATGCCTGAATAACAATTTGTGGATCACTCAACGAATTATTCCGTGCAAGAATTGAACCCACAACAGATTACGCAGCTGACAGTTGCCTAGCCACTGCGCCATCATAGGTAACAATCAAATTAATGAATGGAATATTTTAACAACTTTTGTAAACCAAGTTTCAATAGAATTTGGTCGTGTAGTATTTATCTACCATATTATATTTCTATCTACCTATATCGTAACTTCAGCTTTCACTGTACGTCGATTTTTATTTACCTTTGCGATCCGGTCTGAAGATAATAGGAAATGATTCGTTTGAGATATTTATCTAACGATTCTAATGTAGATGTTAGTTCTTATTCCATTTTTGTTATTATTATTAAGTTTTTCTCTTATTTCAATTCGTTTATAGTGAATGGGTTGAGCTTTTTTTGTGGTAATTCTATTGTGTGTTTCGTGTTCGCCTTTTTTCGAGTTTTATTGGCTCTTGTCTGTTTTTAAGTTTCGCTTTCAACCAGCCGATCTGCCAGTGGAACATAGACCTCCTGTCTATGTGCAACAATGGTCTTCAGCCGCAGCTGAGATGACGATGATGATATACTTAAAGGTAATTTCCTACAGCATGCTCTTCGTTTCTGCATAAAGGCTCCTCTTTGATCATGATGGATAAGTTTTCTGTCATGGTGGAGGCCCTTTTGGCATGAGCACGCGCAAATTAATATTATTATTTTGTTTCTTAGGTGTTTTTTTGTATATCCAAAATTCTGTTATTATCGTATTATTATTTTGTTATATTGTGATGTTTTTTTGTTCTGATCTCTATTCTTGTAAGTTTATTATTAGTATTTTGTTTATATATATATATATATATATATATAATATATATATGTACTTTTATTTTTTTATAATCTTTGTTTTGTGTGCTAATTGCCAAATGAATGTTTTTTCTTTCTTTCTTTCTTTCATCGGTATGCTTGAGAACAGTGTAGATTGAGTTCTTTTTTATATTATATGGGTCGACGTTTGACCACTATCTCGCCTGGTGGTAAGCGATGATGCGGTCTACGATGGAGCACGGTGTCCCATAAGCAACCTATTTACTCAGGCATTGAAGACATCCAGGTTATACCCTTCAGGAAATATAGACTCTGGAAAAAATTTCCACTCCTTAGCAGTACGCTCAAAGAAGCTTGATGCGAAGCGCTTCGTGCGTGAGAGTGGGATATCTACCATGAATCGTTGACTCTTCGCCGATTGTCTTGTAATACAATGATAGAAAGGACTAGGGGGAATCAATGAGTGGAGAGGTTTGATATAACATATCACAAAATGAAACGAATCTTCGGCGCTGAGCTAACTGACAAGTTCAATACACTCGTGGCACATAATATAACTACTTATAGTTACTACTACGTATAGTACTTAAGTGCTTTTGGTAGGTGAAGTATTGCAAACCGCAGCTTAGTTTATTTAGCGAATCAAGGAATTCTCTAGGGCGTCTAGCCGACCATGTTGAGCAAATGGAAGTGTTTCAGCAAAGCCGAT